GGTGTGCGAGGTGGGGGGTGTGTGGGTGTGCGAGGTGGGGGGTGTGTGGGTGTGCGAGGTGGGGGGTGTGTGGGTGTGCGAGGTGGGGGTGTGCGTGAGTGGGTAGCACTCCGTACTCAATGCGAGTCACTCACCATAGTCCGCACGTACGAATGTGGTCGCAGGCTCTTGACCTGCTCCCCGCTGCTGGCTTCGATCCAGGAGCGGGATCCATAGATCAGGGTGATGGGAACATCCTTCTGGATCAAGTGGATCCGGCCCAGCATCGGTCTCTTAGCCCAGCCGAAGGATTCCGACAGCACTTTAAAGGCAGCCTCACCGCTGGGGGGGGAGGAGGTGCTGGTTAGTGTGTGAACCGACTGATCAGCCCAGCCCACTGTACAGTACGCAGGGACCCTCCCCAATTCCCTATATCCCTGGGACACTACCTCCCTGAGCCTTCCATTCACATCCCCCTGGGGCTCAAACCCCGACCGTCTGACTGGCTTTCCTGGTCGCTTGTTGTAACCTGCTCCCTCAGCTTCTGTGATCCATCCTCTCGGTCCCCCAGATCCCTCTGCATCACCCGGCTCTGTAACCCCTCACCCTGCACTTTGTTTGTGTTTGAGTTCTGTCTGCCCAAAGCAGACAATTTCACACTTTCCCACAGTGCCTTCCCTCCCTGCAAGTTCAGAAGTTGGGATGTGCACTACAGTGATGGGCCGAACAACTGGTTTCCGCTCCAGTGTTTTGTGGTTGTAGTCAGAGCTGTGCAGCGTGGACACAGACCCTTCAGTTCAACCTGTCCCTGCCTACTGGATGTCCTAAATCTACTCCCATCGTTTGCCGGCATTTGGCGCATATCCCTCTAAACCCTTCCTACTTGCACACACATCCAGATGCCTTTTAAACGTTGTAATTGTACCAGCCTCCACCACTTCCTCTGGCAACTCGTTCCATACACACACCACCCTCTGTGTGAAAACGTTGCCCCTCAGGCCCCTTTTAAATCTTACCCCCTCTCGCCTTACAGAGTCAGAGTCATAGAGTCCTACAGCACGGAGACAGGCCCTTCGGCCCAAACGGGTCCATGCCGACCAAAATGTCCATTCACGCTAACCCCATTTCCCTGCAGCTGGCCCATATCCTTCTAAACCTCTCCTATCCATGTATTCGTCCAAATGCCCTTTAAATGTTGTTAATGTACCCACCTCAAACACTTCCGCTGGCAGCTTTTTCCATGTGCGTATCACCCTCTGTGTAAAAAAACTTGCCCCTCAGGTTCCCATGTATTCTTTCCCCTTTTACCTTAAACTGATGCCCTCTAGTCCCCAAGCCTGGGAAAAAGACTGAGTGCATTCACCCTATCCATGCCTCTCATGATCTTATACACTTCTGTAAGATCCCCCTCAGTCTCCTACGCTCTAAAGAAAAAAAGACCTATTTTGTCCAACCTCTCCCTATAAATCAATCCCTGGAGTCCTGGCAACAGCCTTGTAAATTTCTTCTGCAATCTTTCCAGTTTAATAACATCCTTCCTTAGTAAGGTGACCAAAACCGAACACAGTACTCCCAGTGATAGTAGGAACTGCTGATGCTGGAGAATCTGAGATAACAAGGTGTCGAGCTGGATGAACACAGCAGGCCAAGCAGCATCAGAGGAGCAGGAAGGCTGACGTTTCGGATCGGGACCCTCCTTCAGAAATGCAAAAGCCTTCTTCACTGCCCTGTCTACTTGGGACTCCACTTTCAGAGAACTGTGCACCTGAACTCCAACGTTCCTCTGTTCCACTACACACCATAAAGCCCTACCATTCACCATGAAAGTCTTACCTTCATTTGCATTTCCAAAGTGCAACACCTCACACTTATCTAACTTAAACTCCACCTGCCACTCCTCAGCCATTCGGCCCATCTGCGCACGGTCCTGTTGTACTCTGAGGTAATTTTCATCACTGTCCACTATACCACCCATTTTAGTGTCATCTGCAAATTTACGAACCATACCCTCCAACGTTCACATCCAAATGACAAAAAGCAGTGGACCCAGCATTGCTTGCTCTTGTGGACAGACAGGTTTAAAAGTCAGGAACGAGGTTAAGGGTTAATGGGGAAAAGGCAGGAAAGTGGAGCTGAGGACTATCAGGTCAGGCGCAACGGGCTGAATGGCCACCTCTGCTCCTATGTCTTGCGGACGATTTGACCACAAGAGGATTCAGAGTGCGCGGTTGTCCAGCCTCACAAAGCCACATGGGCACCGGAGGGTCAGCACCAAATGATTACCGCATTCAGCATCAGGCCAGTTGGAGGCACTAGCTAACCCAGCCTACTCAGAGTGGGCCCCAAGCTAACCCCTTACCTGGGGGACTGGGCGTTGCAGTGATAGACATATTCCAGTATTGTATCATCCTCAAAGTACTCCGAGTATTTCCTCTTTAAATCCGGCCGGAATCGCTGGACTAGGGATGGACCTGAAGAGAGAACTACAGTCACTCCCTTACTGAGGTGGGGGGATTACAGTCACTCCCTTACTGAGGTGGGGAGGGGAGGGGGTGCGGAATAGAGTCACTCCCTTACTGAGGTGGGGGG